TATTGGGCAAGCTTTGGCTATAAGTGACTAGTTTCTTTGCAGCTTCTTGGCGTGTGCTTACATATGTGCGGAAATGCCAACGAAGAGTGTAGGACAGCAACAGAAACGAAACTAACGGTAACAAAAGGAAAGGAACAGAGGATAGACGAGCGAAGAGGATGGGGTGAAATGCGTTAGGAACGAAACAGAAGGAAGCGGCGAGGATGGGGTGGGAAGCGATGGGATGGGTTAGGAACGAAACGGACGGGATGGAATTGGAACTGAGGAACGATTAACGAAACGGAACGGAAAGGATAGGGGGATGGGTTAGGAACGGATGGAATGGAATTGGAACTGACGAATGATTAACGAAACGGAACGGAGAGGATAGGATGAGGTGGGGTGCGATGAGATGACGATTGACAAATGCCAAAATACACATTGCACCGGAACGGAGCGGCGAAGAGGATGGGATGCATGGGACAGACGGGATGGGAACGTAATTGAGAAGAGCGAATTCGATGGGTTAGGAACGGAAAACAGTGGAGCGGATGGGATGGGTTAGCAAGGGACCGGAACGCTGCGGAAAGGACGGAGGGATGGGATGGGATAGGATGGATTAGGAACGGACCCCAACGAAGTGGAGAGGATGAGGTGGGATGCGATGGGTTAGGAACTGACCGGAAGAGAACAGGGTAGAGGAGAGGACGGGATGTGAGAGGATCGGTTAGGAATGGACTGAAACGGAGCGGAGAGGATAGAATCAGACGCGATGGCATGGGTTAGGAACAGACCGGAGCGGCGAGGATGGGGTGAGATGGGTTAGGAACGAAACGAAGCGGCGAGGATTGTGTGGAAAGCGATCGGATGGGTTAGGAACGGAACGGAGGGGAGCGAATGGGATGGAATTAGGAACGGAGCGGAGAGGATGGGGGGATGGGTTAGGAACGGAGCGGAGAGGATGGGATGCGATGAGATTGCGATTGACAAATGCCAAAATACGCACTGGACCGAAACGAAGCGGCGAGGAGGATGGGATGGGTTCGGAACGGACCGGAAGGGAACAGAGTCGACAGGATGGGGTGTGAGAAGATCGAATCGGTTAAGAATGGACCGAAACGGAGCGGAGAAGATTGGGTGGGAAGCGATCGGATGGGTTAGGAACGAGACGGGTGGGAACAGAACGGAAAAGAGGGGATTGCATTGGAACTGAGGAATGGTTTAACGGAACAGATAGGATGGGAAGGGAGCGAAACGGAGCACAGAGGATGGAGTAGGATGGGGTAGGAACGAAACTGAACAGACGGGAATAGGAACATAGAGGAGACGATGGGACGGGATGCAGTCGGCTAGAAACGGACCGCAATGGAGGGGAGAGAATGCGGTTGGATGCGATGGGATGGGTTAGGAACGAATCGTACGGGAGCGAAACGGAGAGAATGGATTGGGAACGAAAGAAACAGAACGGACCGGCAAAGATGGGGGTGAGATGCGATAAAATGGCAACTGACAAATGCTAAAATATGCATTGGACCGGAACGGAGCGGAGAGACTGGGATGGCATGGGATGGGAACAGAATGGAGAGAAGCAAAGAGGATGGGATTAGAACTGAGGAACAATTAACGGAGCGGAGATGGGAACGGGGACAAGCGGCTGAGATATGAACAGAACGGAGAAGAGCAAATGGGATGGGTTAGGAACGAAACAGAAGGGAGAGGTGAGGATGCGGTGGGATGCGATCGGATGGCGATTGACCGGAAGGGAATGGAGAGGATACAAAAGATATAGAATTATAATAATAGAATTAGGAACGAACGAGAACAACGGATGGGACGGTAACGGAGGAGGGGATTCGAACTGATAATGAAAGAGCGTTGACAAATGCTAAAACACGAAAACCAAAACAAATTGAGCGGAAGTGGGAGGGTGGCATGGGACGGATGGAATAGGAGCGGAAGGGATGGGTTAGTAAGGGAACAGAACATTGCGGAGAGGATGGAATGGGATACGACGCGTTAGGAACCGACCGGAGAGGACGGGATTGGAACGGAAGAAAGATAGACACGAAAACCAAAACAAATTGGACGTAAGTGGTGAGGATGGGATGCGACTTTCTAGGAACCGACCGGAACGTAGCTGAGTGGAGAGGATGGGATGGGTTAGGAACGTAGCGAAAAGGATGGGGTGGGATGCGATGGGATGGGTTAGGAACAGAACGGATGGGAACGGGGAGATGCGCATGGGATGGGAAGGGAACTGAAGAACCATTATCGAAACAGAGAGGATAGGGTGGGATGGCTGAGAAACGAAATAGAACGGATGGGATGGGAACGAACCGGAGCGGAATAGAACGGATTCGAACGGAAGAATGATTGACAAATGCTAAAACACGAAAACCATAACAAATTGAACGAATGTCCACTATTACATTCAATAACACTCCAGCACTTGCTTGAAGCACAAATGCAGAAAACAAATAAACCGACGTTAAAGCTAAAGATCATTTCTATGACGGGACGGAAAGAGCGGCTCATTCGTGTGCCTGCTGCCTTCCTTAAATGTGGCAGCCGTTTTACAGGCTCCCTGTCCGGAGTGGAACCCTGTTCCTACGTTACCAGATACCACAATGGTACGCCCTACCAACCAAAGTTGATAAGGCAGGAATTTAAAGGAGTGTGGGCAGTACTAGGAGCATTTGATCTACAACGTTAACTGGACTGACCTAACAGCAACCGTTACAAGAACGGTCGTACTCAAACATCTCAGATGCGGTTTTGACACGGTCTGGATACACGAATCCTTATCGAAATCTGCAAAAATACTTAAATAACGTCGCATCGTACGGCTCTTAAGATAAATGCTAAGCAACCGAACATTGCTATGTCCCTCCATGAAGAGATAAGCTTAACAGGATTACGGTCTGGCTCATCTCCGCAACAGAATACAATAGCTTGCACTCGCTGAGGTTTAAAATTTCAAAAACCTGGCACTTCGACGACGAGAGCACAATATAAATCGGAATGCTGGGGCTTATGAACCTTATCTCATGGCGATAAAATATTCGAATTTTAGACTATGATGTTGCAGTCACGGTGTCCCTCCCGTGGAAGTTCACCTCCAATGCTAGAGTGGCACTGCGGAGTGTCTCCTCCTTTCGGAATAAGTAACAGCTGCGTTCCAGTCTGGCATCTTTGTTGTCTTCCTGTCGTACTATCCAGGTGTTACTACGCTCACAGGTAAAAGAAGACGCGAACCCGGATTACGGTCTGGCTCAGCTCCCTAACAGACAGCATGACTGGCAGTTATTAACCTTTGCGGTAAACCTAAAAACGGTCTGCAACACTCAATTTCCCATTCCTGCTTGGAACCAAGATCAACGCAGTTTTCCTAATGTAGAAAAGTAGTAGCGCAGTGAAAATAGTACATACCTATCATGATACGAATTGGACCATGCTCACGTTCAAGTTTTACGAGGAGCTGAATGACAACCACAAAAGTAACGTAACCAAAAGCACAGTACCTGAAGAACAAATAGCCTTATATCAAATATCCCGTGGGCGTAACACAAATGAGGTGTTAAACAAAATTAGTCAACGGGACGAGAACTGGAGACGCAACTCACCAAGCAGATCGACACAACTCATGAAATCATGCCCAAGTCCTTTTCACCTCCGATGAAAGCGTCGACGCAGGTGTCAATATCTTTTTCGCTATGGACCGCCGAAGTCTGAACACGGATTCGATGGCGTAGCTGAAACGGATCACGTATATTCCTTTATCCGGCAGCACGTCCACAAATTGAGATGCAAGTCTGAAAAGCGATGAAAATGCAAAACATATTATATACCAATCACAAGGACAAAGCACAATGACGCATACTAAATACAATGATGTTCGTAAAACGGTTATTTCCATGAGATTAAGCAAAGATGGTGGTTTATTAGATCAGTATTCCGTTTCACAAGAGTATCTGGCGCAGGTCAAAGCATACACCTGAAAATATACACCATGAATATGTGTATGTATACCAGAAAATTGGAAACTTCATCTGAAATAGCTGAGTGAACAGACGAAATTTGAAAATAAATTAATTAAGAAGCATAAGCACTAATAAGTGACAGAATCGACGAATGAATAAATGTGATGACTCTTTTTCAGAAAAATTATGTAGCATTTGCCGACACTCTTCAGTTTATTTTTGTAAACAATTTGAGAATCAAGTTCAGCGTAAATACGTCCAGCAAAATATGTAATCAATAGATTTATACTTGAAGTAACTATGAGCATTAGTTGTTTGAAAACTATCAGGATAAGAAACAAACTACTTAATTAACCAATTCCCAATACTGAAATTAAATAGGCTGCTTCATTACACAATGCGGAAAATGTTGTTAATCGAATGACTGATCAGTGCTTTTAATTCCCTGCATGTCGTACAGGTTTACATTAGGTGAGAAACAGCTAATTTAATAGTCTTAAATAAATTTAGGAAAAAGTCTAAACATTTTCATGAGTTCAAATAATTTTTTGCTATCTGAATTTTGAAGAAAACAACTGGCGGGAAAAAAGTTGAAGCAACTTTTGGCAGATCTTGTTTGATTTCGCTTGGTTCTCTAGGGCCAAACTTAGGGTGATGAAAAACTTAGCTTCTGATATGTTCTCCAGAATAGACACAAATCTTTTTAAAGATTGCGATAAAACTCAACAAGGCATAGTTTTGAATCCCAGCACTGCCTGGAGGTATATATAACTAGCTGACGAACAAAAACAGCAACAGCAGATATCCTCAAAAACGTAATGCAACGCCCCCAACCTCCCCACTACATGATGTAACCGGAGACAACCATGCCGTCGAATCATGAGAAGTGCAGACAATACGTGTTAACAACAGACCAGGTGGCAGGACCAATATTTGCCAGACTTCTCGCCCAACAGTTATATGCATAAACATCTAAACGACCGCCACGTTGTTATTGTTAATCAGGGAAAAATCTTCATCGATGACCGAGAGGCCAGTCAGTTGCTAGTACGAACGAATGAAAAACACAGACGTATGCATACTGTTTGGCATGTTCCATTACGGCCATTAGCTGTTGCGACATGGTTTCACCTTCTAGCACTGGAACAAATGCTTGTAGCAAAATACACAGGCCCGACTCCGGTACAACACCTTCATGTTCTTGTAATTCATTACATTTAAGTCTTGGAATCGTAAGGTAAGCGTTTTCTACTACACAAATCCGGCATTTAAGTGTACGGCATCCTTCTGCATTCTCCAGGATGGAGAAGAAATATTCGAGTAACTCTGTGCGTAAGCATAATCCGTCAGGAAAAACCAACAAAGTGAACGTTTGTTAAAACATTTCCTTAGTCTCGATCTCGACATTGCACAGGATATGCGTATATTTGATTCATTAGATTTCGCCCGAACGCAGAACATCCAAGTTTAGTTATTAAAAAACTTGCTCGAGTGCCGGTACTGTTGTGTAAACAAGCTCTACGAGCAACAATGGGTAAATACGGAGCAAACAGGATGCAATCCCGTGTCACCACGGTCATTCAGCATTATGGAGCCTATGAAATCATGGATATTTCATTTTTATCAGAGCTGAGAAGTAGATAAAAAATAAATGGTAAACAAATTTTGCAGTAATTGCAAAGCTGCGATTCCGCCAACAACCGCAGTCCACTTTTAAAACTGTGTTTATGAACAAGACAGAGTCTTCAGAAGGCTGTGATGCCATGAACTTGCGGGCAGCTTAAAATAGCAAGTCGCGAGAACCCTAGACGGATGCAAATCTATGTCACGAAATAACATGCATTATTTAAACTACTGTCATTCACCTGACTTTAGTCAGGATAAGTTTATTAGCTTCTGCAACGATTGTCGCTCATAATCAGCATCAAAGAGGAAACCAGCAACAACAGCTTAGACGGAAACAATAAAACATCCGAAGGGCGACGTCACGATCTCCGATACTCCAAGGTTGAAAGAAACCAAAAGAGTGACAAAGGATATCTGTTTTACATGTTCTACAATAAGCTGTGTAGAATTACGGTATCTCTGACCCACAGGAACTATAAAAGTCAAAGTCAAGAATCAAATTTTAAAGAATATTTCTAAAACGAACCCAGAAAATAGCAAACTATCTTTGACTCAAAAGCCCGTACTTTCGTTGAGGTCGTGCGAGTTAGACCATGAACAAAAATAG